CAATTCCGACCAAAATGACTTTGATGATCTTACGTGAACACGTGAAGCAGTCCACGTGGCATGTTAGTACAAAATATTTACGAAAATAAAAATTAGTAAATTTATTCGAGTAATTTCTAGTATTCTACTTGATGCTGACGTAAGCAATGCTTGGTGGTGTGTTGTTTGTCAGAAAAATTGAAATTCTTCCAGCGATTTATGCTCGAGCAGTAGAGTAGGCAAGAACGCACTTTGTTGAGTTATTCTGAGGTGCTGAAACAACTCAGTCATTTGACTACGGATTATTAGAGTTTGCGACTATGCCATCACCAGAGATGAAATGAATCAAAATAAGCAGGAATGAGTACAAAGTCGATGAGACTGGGGGAACCATACCTTTTTGACTTTGAACCTTTAATGTATCAGAACGTAGTATCAGTGATATTAGAGTGATGCGATTATCGTATCATTTGAATGGCTCATTTTTGATTTATCATCGATGAAACAGGAAGAAGCTATATACATTATTGTTCGCCATAATGTATATTTGAAATGTTGAGAGTGGGAACTTATTCAATTGTTTCACTTCTATTCATATAGATGAGCAGATGTACGCATGTTGTTATGTAAAACATCTCTCATTACCTCCCAATACAGCCATGATACTCATTAACTGGTTCAATTTTGTATGCAAGGCTGAATTTCAATCCTTGATTCTTCTTCATATGTTAATGTAAGGAAGATGGTTAATAGCTTTTCAATGAGTTTCCTGGGTGTATAATCGAACCTAGTTATTCTATTGTGTAAGAGAAGTTCAGGTGTTAGGAGGAAATATGTCTGATGTTTGTTATTCTCAGACAAATCTCCGAATTTTTCGGAACATTCTGATCATCAGATTACTCTCCCTGCTTTAACGAGAATTTGAACTTTTGGAGCAATGAGTACTTCCCTCAATACTCTTGACATCACAATTTTTTTGTCCTCACTTTCAGTTAATTCGTATCGCTTATTGTCTATTACATGCCTTCACATTGTTCTTCCCAAAATCAACCGGTTTTTTTTGTTGATCAAATTGTTGAAGACGATGTGCACCTGTGTCACGTCGTAGTTCAGGGGACAAACATTGAGAAGCAAGGATGTAGCTTGTAATCCAGTCTCTAAGACGTGTCATACATTTAAGTTATGCTTAAAGAAATGTTGTTTGATCATTCAAATGTTTCTACGAGGTTTTTCTGATAGTTCAGTTTAGATAAAGAAGGGGAGCAGACTAGGAAGAGGCATATCATATTCAACCTCTTATGCACCTGTATAGGGTTGTTTGAACTGAGAGCTTTAAAAGTTGTTCGTAACTTCAGAAAGGGATAAGGCTGTTTACAATTTCTCCTTATCTTTCTTATCTCCTGATTTGATCGAAAATTCCTCTAAAATGATCTTTTCGTTGACAGCCTTATCAGTGTTTTTCGATTCTCCAAGTATTTCCTGAATAGGAGGTTAGAGGAATTTAAGACGATGAAATAGTCAACCGACCCTCACCCAACTCTTTTTTACAGATCTTTTGGAAATGATGGAACACTCCATGCTCCAAGCGTGGCTGCCATCGATAATAAGATTGAACAGGCTATGGTTAGCTTAAAACCAATTTAGGCTTAATAGAATTCCCTCTCTTCTAGGATTTAGTG